GCTCACTTTATAATGAAGAAGATAATATGTATAGGGGCAGCAAGGTGGTGCAGTGGATAAAGCACCAGTCCTGAAGTCAGGAGGACCTGAGTTCAAATGTGACCTTAGACCAAACACTTGACACTCACTAGCTGTGTGACCCTGGGCAAGTCACTTAACCCCAATTGACTAAAAATTAAAAAAAAGAAGATGGAGGTGGAGCCAAGAAGCGAGAGGGGGGAAGAAGAGCATTCGAAACATGATGGATAGTCAGAGTAGGGAGATGGGGTGATGTTCAAGGATTAAGAAGTGGACCAGGGTAACTAGATCATTGAGTATTGTAGTAGGTGGATAATTGATTGTATGGAGCTGAGTTAAGTTTAAGCCTGGAGAGGTAGGAAGGGACCAGGTTGCAATGGCATTAAAGGCTGATCATTATATTTGATCACACAGGGTCACACAGCTAGTGAGTGTCAAGTGTTTGGTCTAAGGTCACATTTGAACTCAGGTCCTCCTGACTTCAGGACTGGTGCTTTATCCACTGCACCACCTTGCTGCCCCTATACATATTATCTTCTTCATTATAAAGTGATACATTATATTTGATCTGAGGGTGGCAGGGAGCCATCACAGTTTACCAAGTGTGTGTGTCGAGGGTCGGGGGAGCAACAAACTCACACCTGAGAGACACAGATAAATAGTATCAAAGCCACAGCATCCGTAAGTAAATCATGGCTGATTTACTATAAAGTACCCAATCTAATCCAGAATCCTGCTTCAAAACAATGTTAGACCCCCAAGAAAGGGCTGCACCACCCCCTTTCCATTATTTGCCTCCCATGAAAAGCCTTCCTGGCAGAAGTCGATTAAAATAATCACAACTTACTTGAACATTTCACTGAAGCCTCTGAGGCAGGAACATCCCAGGGGAATATGCCATCAATAGCATCAGATGCTTTCTGCATCTTTCACTGCCAGTCCCATGGCATTCCATTCCCCCTCAAGTGACAATTAAATGTGCTCAAGCGTCCTGAATCCTCAGCTGATCATTTTTTCCTCAAACATTTTTTTATCCCATCTAGCTACATTCCATCTTCCACCTCTCAACTTCTTGGAGGGGAAGGAGAGCTATCTGCACTTAATACTCTTACCCTTTCATTAAAATGATCTGTTGAAAATGCCCCCTCAAAAGTTACCTTTGAAATTCAGCAGCCTATTTTAGTCCATGGTTCATTCTCTTTGCATTTGACTCAAGCACTCCTTCCTTCTTGTGACTCACTCCTTCTCTGGCTTTTGAAATATCCAACTCTCCTGTTTCTCTTACTGCATGTCTACATGTTCCTTCTCTGCCTTGTTTACTGGCTGTTGCTCCTCCTCTTCCTGTCGCTAAAGTGAGCATTCCCCAAGGTTCGCTCCTGGCCCTCTTCTCTCCTAGTCTGTCCCCCTGGCAATACCATTCATACCTGCAGCCTCAGCTTTTACTTTTCCACTGTCAGTATTCAATCCTGGTTACTGTCAGAGCTCTCATTTCATGTCTCCAGTTGTTCATAGGACTTTTCTACCTAAATTACAGGATCATGGGAACATAGATTTAAAGACGGGAAGGATATCAGAGATCACCTATTCCAGCCCATTTATTTTACAGATCTGGAAAGTAAGGGAAGTTGAATACCTTGTTTAAGGTCACATGGGTAGTAAGCATCAGAGGTAAGATTATATATATATATATATATATATATATATATATATATAATATATGCATGTATGTATGTATGTATACACACACACACACACATATATATATATATATATATATTTCAAGCTCAATTAATCCAAAACCAATTTTTTTACTATTTTTACCTCAAAATATACCACTTCTAATTTCACTGCTACTGTCGGCCATACCACCCTTTAGTCTCCCATGTGTAAAACCATTATGTCACCTTTGACGCTTTTATCTTTC